GAGGAAGGAACTCATGCGCTTCCTGGGGATGTGCGGCTACTACCGTCGGTTCTGCAGTAACTTCTCCAGCGTGGCCGGACCCCTCACAGACCTTACCAGTTCTGCGGTCCCTTACATCTGGAACCAGAGGTGCGACCAGTCTTTCCACCGCCTCAAAGCCTTCCTTGCCTCCAAACCTGTAGTCCACCCCCCTGACTACACCTCGCCCTTCCATCTGCAAATCGACGCTAGTGGTGTCGGAGTGGGGGCTGTGCTCCTACAACCCGACCCTACCACTGATGTTCTTCACCCTGTGGCATATTACTCCGCCAAGTTGAAAAAACATCAAACCAACTACTCGACCATAGAGAAGGAGGCCTTGGCTCTGGTGTTGGCAATAAAGAAGTTTGAATGTTACCTCCAGTCTTGCCCACAAACAACCCTAGTCTTCACCGACCATAACCCACTCACGTTCATCCAAACCAACAAGACCTCCAACCAGCGAATCCTCCGCTGGGCTCTCCTCACCCAGCCCTATAATCTACAAGTCCGGCACATAAAGGGGGTCGATAACCTGATTGCAGACTCCTTATCCCGAGCTCCAGGGGAAATGCAGCAGCTACTCTCCAGACGCACCAGGTGATCACCTCCTTCGCGCCCGCGCTACGGAGGTCTTTGGAGGGGGGGTGTGTTACGAACCCCTCCACCCAGCACTACGAAGCACGCCATCTATTGTCCTGATCTACCTACCCAGCACCACGAGCAACGCCATCTAGGGACGAGACACGAGTATGACTCGTCTTAGTTACCACTCCGAGGTTTCCCTTCTCCCTATCCTGGTTGTTGCGTCACCTCCTCAAAGTCTTATTTGTCAGCTCCAATTCGAGGAGAGAGCACTTGGCTCTGGGGAAGTGACCACAGGATCATCTATCCTCTAAACCTACGTGCAGTGACTACCTACCGTCTTCTACAATACTCAGCCTTACTCGTCAGCCATCTCAGCTCCTCACTTAAGTACTAGTATCTTGTATTAATTTCCCCACGTCCACTTGCTTCGAGATTGTTTTATGTTTATTAATATGTATATACTGTTAATGTTTAGGTTAAGTTTGGTTAAGGGTAATTTATAAGCTGAATATTTTGTTAAGGGATTTATGGTACTCTATTATATACAACGAAAACTCGCATCCTTTGTCTACCCTTTTATAGTCCGATTGTCTGTTTTTTTTTTTATTGTTGTTACCTGTTGGGATCTGGGTAGACGTATAACTATATTCTAAATCCCCAACTCGTAACAATACCTGTACCTAATATCTATACCTGTACCTGTATCTATACCTGTACCTATACCTGTATCTATACCTGCACCTGTATCTGTACCTGTACACTGTATCCATACCTGTACCTGAATTTATACCTGTACCTGTATCTATACCTGTACCTGTATCTATACTTGTACCTGTATTTATACCTGTACCCCTATATCTATACATAATACCTGTATCTATACCTGTACCTGTACCTGTATCTGTACCTGTATTTATACCTGTACCTGTATCTATACCTGTACCTATACCTGTATCTATACCTGTACCTGTATCTGTACCTGTACCTGTATTTATACCTGCCTGTATCTATACCTGTACCTGTATCTATACCTGTACACATACCTGTATCTATACCTGTATATATCTATACCTGTACCTATATCTATATCTATACCTGTACCTGTATCTATGCCTGTACCTGTATCTATGCCTGTACCTGTATCTATACTGTACCTATACCTATATCTATACCTGTACCTGTATCTGTACTATGCCTGTATTTATACCTGTACCTGTCTATACCTGTATATCTATACCTGTACCTATACCTATCTATACCTGTACCTGTATCTATACCTGTACCTGTATCTATACCTGTACCTATACCTGTACCTGTACCTGTACCTGCCTGCTATCTATACCTGTACCTGTATTATACCTGTACCTGTATCTATACCTGTACTGTATCTATACCTGTACCTATACCTGTACCTATACCTGTACTATACATGCACTGTATCTACTGTACCTGTATTTATACCTGTACCTGTATCTATACCTGTACCTATACCTGTACCTATTTATACCTGTGCCTGTATCTATACCTGTACCTGTATTTATACCTGTACCTGTATTTATACCTGTACCTATACCTGTACCTGTACCTGTATCTATACCTGTACCTGTATTTATACCTGTACCTGTATCTATACCTGTACCTGTATCTATACCTGTACCTATACCTGTACCTATACCTGTGCCTATACCTGTACCTGTATTTATACCTATACTTGTATCTATACCTGTATATCTATACCTGTACCTGTCTATACCTGTGCCTATACCTGTACCTATACCTGTACCTATACCTGCACACCTGTATCTATACCTGTACCTGTACCTATACCTATACCTGTACCTATACCTGTACCATGCATGCCATTACCTGTACCTGTCTATACCTGTACCTGTACCTATACCTGCACCTGTGCCTATACCTGTACCTGTGCCTATACCTGTACCTGTATCTATACCTGTACCTGTATCTATACCTATACCTGTATCTATACTATACCTGTGCCTATACCTGTACTGTACCTATACCTGTACCTGTACACATACCCTGCCTGTATCTATACTGTACCTGTATCTATACCTATACCTGTATCTATACCTATACCTGTACTGTACACCATCTATACCTGTACCTGTATCTATACCTATACCTGTCTATACCTATACCTGTATCTATACCTATACCTGTACCTACCTATACCTGTACCTATACCTATACTATACTATACCTGTACCTGTACCTGTACCTGTATCTATACCTGTACCTGTATCTATACCTATATATGTCTATACCTATACCTGTACTATACCTGTACCTATACCTGTATCTATACCTGTACCTGTACCTGTACCTATACCTGTACCTGTACCTATACCTGTACCTATATATTGCCTGTACCTATACCTGTACCTGTATCTATACCTGTACCTATACCTGTACCTGTATCTATACCTGTACCTGCCCCATTACCTGTTCTGCCGCTACAACCTTCACCAACACCAACAGAAATATATTACGGCAGAACACACATGCTAGAGACGCTTTTACTTAACCCAAAAGCTTCTCTGATGTGCTGAAACTCCACTTAACGTTACTTTCCGCCACTACAGTCTACTTAACGTCACGGCTCCATCCCCATCCCACCACCCCCCTCTCTATCTCTCTCCTCTGCACCTGCTCTTACTCTGGGTTGAATTATATTTCATTGTTTTATATATAATCTGACATCTGTGAAGGTAATGTTGTGTAGGTGGCAGTTGTTGTACACACACACACATTCATATACATACATACATACATACATACATTCATACATACATACATACATACATACATACATACACACCGCCTCTAGGACTCAATATGTTTGCTGTTACATTTCGCTCCACAGCAGACCTCTACATACCTCTGACCACTACTCCACAACTCTCTACTCTCCTCAATTCACAACCCCACAAATCACAACTCTCCTCAACTCACAACCCCACAAATCACAACTCTCCTCAACTCACAACCCTACAAATCCTTAACTCACAAATCACAACTCTCCTCAACTCACAACCCCACAAATCACAACTCTCCTCAACTCACAACTCCACAATCACAACTCCACAAATCACAACTCCACAAATCCACAACTCTCTCAACTCACAACTCTGAAATCACGACTCCTAAATCGCTCTCCCTCAACTCCACAACTCACAAATCACAACTCTCCTCAACTCACAACTCCACAAATCACAACTCTCCTCAACTCACAACTCCACAAATCACAACTCCACAAATCCAACTCCACAATCACAACTCCCCAAATCACAACTCACAAATCACACTCCCCAAATCACAACTCCACAATCCACAACTCCACAAATCACAACTCCACAAATCACAACTCTACAAATCACAACTCTCCTCACACAAAAAAAACTCGACTTTGATCTTTAAAACTGTGGTGGGTCTGAAGTTGTTGTTGTCAGTACCTGTAAAACTTTCACAAGATTCTTCCTAGTGAGGTGAGGTGAGGTGGAGGGTGGTAGGTGGTGGTGGTGGTGAGGTGAGGTGTGGTGGGGTGTGGTGAGTGAGGTGAGTGAGGTGAGGTGTGGTGAGTGTGGTGGTGAGGTAGGTGTGAGGTGAGTGAGGTGTGGTGAGTGGTGAGGTGAGGTGGTGAGGTGTGGTGGTGAGTGGTGAGGTGAGGTGTGGTGGTGGTGAGGTGGTGTGGTGAGTGTGGTGAGTGTGTGAGAGTGGTGGTGAGGTGGTGTGGTGAGTGTGGTGAGGTGAGGTGAGGTGAGGTGTGGTGGTGGTGGTGGTGAGGTGTGGTGTGGTGAGGTGGTGAGGTGTAGCGGTTGGGTTGGGTTGGGTCCATAATACATTGTGGACACCTATAACATCTCTATACACAGAATGATAATGAAATCCAACTATATTTTCCTCTCTTTTTAAAACTTTCATCTCCAATACACCCAACCGCCTCCCCCGGCCCTTCATCAATCTCCTTCATCATCCCAGCCACAGCCCTTCATCACCCCACAGCCCTCCATCAATCTCCCTTTCATCCTTCCCCACAGCTTTCAGCACTTGTTTGACCATCTCAACCCCCGGCCTTCATCAATTCCCCTCGCTCATTAACCTCCAGGCCCTCCAACTCCACACAACCATCAACCCTAGCCCCTCATCACTCCCCACAGCCTTCATCAACCCCCAGCCATCATCAACTGCCCCTTCAGCAACCCACAGCCCCCTCATCAGCTCCTGGCCCCTCATCACTCGGCCCCTTCATCAACCCCCACAGCCCCTCATCACTCCTGCCCTTCATCAACCCCCAAAGCCTTCTTCAACCTCCACAGCCCTCATCAACTCGCCCCTTCATCAACCCCACAGCCCTTCATCACTGTTATTAATCAACCCTGTCATCTCATCAACTCCACAGCCCTTCATCAACTCCGGCCTTCATCAACTCGGCCCTTCATCAACCCCCAACCCCTCATCAGCCCCCACCCTTCAATCTCCCCTCACCCACTCATCAACCTCCAGCCTTCATCAATCTCCCCTCACCCCGCTCATCAACCTCCAGCCCCCTCATCAACTCCCCAGCCTTCCTCAACTCCCCAGCCCCTTCATCAACTCCTGGCCTTCATCACTCCCCAGCCCTTCATCCTTCCCCAGCCTCATCAACTCCCCAGCCCCTTCATCAACTCCCCAGCCCCTCATCACTCCCCACAGCCCCTTTCAACTCCCCAGCCCCTTCATCAACCCCCCAGACCCCTCATCAACCCCCAGCCCCTCATCACTCCCAGCCCCTCATCAACTCCCCAGCCCTTCATCCACCCCAGCCCCTCATCCCTCAAAACCTTCATCAATCTCCCTCACCCGCTCATCAACCTCCACAGCCCCTTCATCAACCACAGCCCCTCATCAACTCCCACAGCCCCTTCATCAACTCCCCAGCCTTCATCCTCCCACAGCCCCCCTCATCACTCCCAGCCCCCTCATCAACTCCCCAGCCCCTTCATCCCAACTCCCAGCCCCTTCATCAACCCCACAGCCCCCCTCATCCTTACAGCCCCTCATCACTCCCACAGCCCCCCTCATCACTCCCAGCCCTTCTCAACCCCACAGCCCCTCATCAATCCCCCACAGCCCTTCATCAATCTCCCCTCACCGCTCATCAACCTCCACAGCCCTTCATCAACTCCCACAGCCCCTCATCAACTCCACAGCCTTCATCAACTCCCCAGCCCTCATCAACTCCCACAGCCCCTTCATCAACTCCCCAGCCCCTTCATCACTCCCCACAGCCCCTTCATCACTCCACAGTCCCCTCATCGCTCACAGCCTTCATCAACCCACAGCCCCTCATCAACTCCCACAGCCCCTTCAGCAACCCCCAGCCCCCCTCACACTCCCACAGCCCTTCATCAACCCCCCAGCCCCTCATCAACCCCACAGACCTTCATGAATCCCCACCTTCCCCTCCCACTCTTGTCCAAGTTTTCTACAGTCAAGACTCATCACCATTCCTCTCTCTCTCTCTCTCTCTCTCTCTCTCCTCTCTCTCTCTCTCTCTCTCTCTCTCTCAGGGTCTCTGTGAGGATGCAACCAATACAACAATCTTGACTTTGTATGCAACCAACAGTTCAGGAGACGATATTGAACCTTCAGCACTTGTCTCTGCTTGTGAGGGTGTGTTGCAAGTCTTCTTTTTCTATGAGGGGCTACTGCATCTCTCTCTCTCTCTCTCTCTCTCTCTCTCTCTCTCTCTCTGTGCGGGATATTTTAATTGCATCCCAGTGAACCCCCCACACACACTCACACACACACACACACACACACACACACACACACTCACACACACCTGCTAGAGCGAGGATGCGAGCCCCATAAAACATTACTAAATTAATCCAGTTGGCTGAGCTAAATGAAGCAATCTCGAAGCTTCAGTGAACGACGGACGTGTGGGAGCTAGGTTGCTGTACTTGTGAACCGAGTTTCGCACCTCAGTGAACCGCAGAGGTGGGGAGAAGTGTAAACCAAATGAACCGAGTTTCATGACATAGTGAACCGACGATATGTAATTGTGGAAAGCTGTATAGAACCGAATGAACCGAGGTTGTTTGTTTCTATGGTAGGATGAGTTGAAACAAGTGAACCAGTTTTGATAATTCAGTGAACCCTGGCCATGTTGAGCCTCGAGATTCTGTGGTCTTCGAAATCAGAAGGTTCAGTGGTCGATATGAATGAACCATATGAAGCCAATACTGAACTCTGTGAACTGTGGATATATTTAGTCTGGAGAGAGAGTTCAGATCTATATAACTGAACCAAATCAACCAGTTTTGAAGCCTCTATGAACCGTGTACATATTTGGTTCTATGGGGCAATGCGTTTGAAACCACCAAGAGAACACGGATTCGTAAACTAATGGACCGTGTTTGAGCGAGTCTCGGGGCGAAGTGAACGAACTCGTTATGATGGAAGATAAATATAACATTCAATTAATTCCTGGATTTGTAAAGAGTAAGTTAGGATTACTTGAATATTAACCTTTACAACTTATTTCACCTAAAGATTAAACTATCCTAACGCTACCAGAGAGGTTAGGTTAGGTTAGGTTAGGTTAATTTAAGAAAGGTCAGTATTTACGTTAGGTCAGCATTAAGTTTGGTTAGGTTAGGTTAGGTTGGTTATAATTGGTTCATGTTAAGTGAAATAAACTTGGAGGGCTAATCTTAGGTGATCCGTGAGGTTACAGCTCCGAGACAGGCTCTCCAAGGGAAAAATTACAGACAGGGCAGAACCTGTCAGCTGTCAAGACTACAGTACTGATGTAGAGTGAAATAAAAAAAATGAAAAACGCGTCAATCGACTGTCATGTACAAATGAATGTCATGTTTCCGAGCAGTCAAAACCCAAATATTGGTTTGGTTAGGTTAGGTTAGGTTAGGTTAGGTTAGGTTCCCATTAGAGTGGTTAATCTTCAGGTGAAATAAGCTGGGGTTCCTATTCTTCAGGTGATCCCAAAGGCTTATGTTCTATGAGGGGAATCTAGAGGTAACAGTCACAAACACACAGTCATTTTAACACACACATACACACACACGTCAATACCACTAACACGCACACACATAAACACACACACACACACACAGCAACACTCACACACCACACAGTCAATACAACACACACACACAGCAACACTCACACAGCTCACCCAACACAGTCATTACAACACAGCGAAGAAACACCACAAGCGGTCAGTCTGGAGTTGAGAGGTACAGATTCTTAAACTTCCAACGTTAACAAGTTTTTCTTCTCGTCAAACTAGGAAGAAGAACAAGATGGTTTTCGTGTCAGGTAAAAGTCTCAAGTTTAGTTTAGTCGCTAAGTTGACCACTAGCCCCACGGCACGACACAGACTCTATTAAAGCTACGACACGAACCTATTAAGCTACGACACAGACTCCTATTAAAATTGCGACACAGACTCCTATTAAAAGCTACGACATAGACTCTATTAAAACTGCGACACAGACTCTATTCAAACTGCGACACAGACTCCTATTAAAACTGCGCACAGACTCTATTAAACTGCACACAGACTCCTATTAAAACTGCGACACAGACTCTAATAAAGCTACGACACAGACTCCTATTAAAAGCTACGACACAGACTCCTTAAAACTGCGACACAGACTCCTATTAAAACTGCGACACAGACTTTATTAAAGCTACGACAGAACCTATTAAGCTACGACATAGACTCCTATTAAAATGCGACACAGACTCTATTAAACTACGACACAGACTCCTATTAAAGCTGCGACACAGACTCTATTAAAATTGCACGACTCTTTAAAGCAGACATAGACTCCTAATAAACTGCGACACAGACTCCTATTAAAACTACGACACGACTCTTAAACTGCGACCAGACCTATTAAACTGCACAGACTCCTTAAAGCCGACACAGACTCTATTAAAACTGACACAGACTCTATTAAAACTCGACACAGACTCCTATTAAAACTGCGACCAGACTCCTAAAACTGCGACACAGACTCCTATTAAATCTTACGTAAGAAATCCCGTGAAGCGTGGCCGGCCTGTGTGTGTGTGTGTGTGTTTTGTGTGTTGTTGTGTGTGTGTGTGTGTGTGTGTGTGTGTGTGTGTGTGTGTAGAAATGCCAAGTTGTGGAAAACGTTGCTCACAGATTCCGACACTGGTATTTATCTACATCAGCTGCCCCCCCCACTCTCTCCCCACTCACCACCCCTTACTCTCCCTCCAGCCCCCTACTCTCCCCTCCGCCACCCCTACTTTCTCCCCCTCCCTTACCCCACTCTCTCACCCGCTTCCCCGCTCACCCATCCACCCCACTCTCCCACACCACCCGCTCTCCTCCTGCCCCCTCTCCCTCCGCCACCCACTCTCCTCCTCCCACCACCCCCTCCACCTCTCCTCCGCCATCTCACCTAAAATATTACACACGCGCGGTTCAGGCCATGAAGTTTTGGGTTGCAAATTTTGGGTCATGGTAATAATTGGGGAGCCATAAAGTTTTTGGGGACCATGAGTTTTTGAGTATGGAAGTTTGGGGTCATGGGTTTTTGGGGGTGTTTTTGGGGTTTGGTTTTGGGTGTTTTGGGGTTTTGGGTGGTGGGGACCATGGAGTTTTTGAGGCCATGGAGTTTTGTGGGCCATGGAGTTTTTTGGGTTGGGTTTTGGCATGGTTTTTGGGGTGAGTTTTGGGGTCATATGGGGTTTTGGGGGTGTGGGTTTTTTGGGACCATGGGATTTTGGGGCCATGGAGTTTTTGTGTGTGGGTTTTGGGTTGTTTTGGGGTGGTTTTGGGGTTGGGTTTTGGGTTTTGGGGGGTGGTTTTGGGGTGGGGTTTTTGTGGGTGGGTTGTTGTGGTGGGTTTTGTGGTGGGTTTGTGGGCCATGGTTGGGGACCATGGTTTTGGGACCATGGAAGTTTTTGACCATTGAAGTTTTTGGACCATGGTTTTGGGGGGCTTGGAAGTTTTTGGCATGGAGTTTTTGGGACTAGTTTTTGGGGCATGGAGTTTTTGAGGGGGCCATGGAAGTTTTTTGGGGGCCATGGAAGTTTTGGGGACCTGGTGTTTTTAGAACCCCAAAATTAAGTCTCTGGATTTTAGGACATTGAAAGTTAGGGTCACTGACAATGTGTGGTCGTAGGGAGATCCGGTCCCTTGAGCCTCTGTCACTTTGAAACTTTCTGGGGCAAAACTTTAGGGTGATACTTTAAGGGGTGAAACTTTTAGGGGTGATACTTTGGGGTGATACTTTGGGGTGATACTTGGGTGTTGTAAGGGTGATACTTTAGGGGTGATACTTTGGGGTTGATACTTTAAGGGGTGATACTTTAAGGTTGATACTTTAAGGGGTGATACTTTAAGGGGTGATACTTTAAGGGGTAAAAACCTACAATTGAAACTTTCTGAGGTGAAACTTTAAGGGGCGAAACATTAAGGGGCGAAGCATTAAGGGGTGAAACATTAAGTGGTGAAACATTAAGTGGCGAAACATTAAGGGGCGAATCACATAAAACATTCTGGGATGAAAACATTCGTACTAAAACATTCTTGCCTATAAATCCCTACCCCGTTAAACACACTCTCTCTCGTAAACCAAACATCCAATACTTTAAAACACAACAAACTAAACTAGGAAAAAACGCAACCTCGGAATCGAATAACAACAAACAAACAAAAGAAGCAAACAAATTTTCTTTGAAATCCTTAACTAAAACAAAAACGCTTATTGTTAGTCACTGTTGTAAAGATTAAAAAAACACACACATACAATACCGAACCAAACAGAAGAAAAAAACACCCTTTGAATTGAAATAAAACAAGAGTACTACTCCTTTAAAACAATCGTAAAACACACACACACACACACCGCCACACACACACACACACCGCCCACACACACACACACCCCACACACCGCCCACACACACACACACACACACACACACACACACACATGCACACCCATCCATCAGCATTTTTTGACACCCAGGCTTTTATAATGAATTAGAGAATCGGAACTGAATTATGAGTCAAACAGGGAGACAGTATAGTATAGGTCATTTAAGTCAGATGGGTGGTGATAGTTGCTCTCCGCTCTCTCTGTCTTTTTTTTTTTTTTTTTTTTTTTTTTTTTTTTGTGTGGTAGTGGTTTAGTTTCCTCAAACTATTTAATTTTTATTTTTCATTCTAACACCGCGAGATTGTGGGAGGTTTTTTGTTTTGTGGGGGTGTGTGTGTGTGGGGTGTGTGTGTGTGTGTGTGTGTGTGTGTGTGTGTGTGTTGTGTACTGTACACACACACACACACACACACACACACACACACAATACCCTACTCTTGCACCTCTCTCTTTTTTTTTTTTTTTTTTTTTCTCTCTCTCTCTCTCTCTCTCTGTCATTATTATTTTAGTCAGTCTAAGTCAACAATGAATAATTTATGAGTTTTCTGGTCGGTATGGTAAGTTAACTCAGTAACTCATCATCCATTAAGACTTTTTGGTCAATTTTAGAATCACGAGGTAATTACAATTTTCAGAGTTCAATAGTTTCCTAAGTGATAAATTTTTCACATCAGACGACGATAGATCATTAATCTTACTTTACTGTATTTATTTAACCATTTTATTATTATTATTATTATTATTATTATTATTATTATTATTATTATTATTATTATTATTATTATTATTATTTATTTTATTTTTTTTTTTTTATTTTTTTTTTTATTATTATTTTACAATGCTCAAACTAGGCAGATTTGATGAACATTTAACAAAGTCTCTTTATTAATAAACTTTGCTAAACTTCGTAACAAAATTAACCGTGTTGTTATAGTTTGCAGTTCTCGGGTGTTATAAGAAACGGTGAAATAGACTGGTCTCCAGCAGTGACTATATTAATTTTAGAGTGAAACGCCAACAG